GGTCCAAGCCCCGCTCAGAGGGGTTTCTGCACCCGTCCCACCAGGGGGGTCAGGTCCAAGCCCCGCTCAGAGGGGTTTCTGCACCCGTCCCACCAGGGGGGTCAGGTCCAAGCCCCGCTCAGAGGGGTTTCTGCACCCGTCCCACCAGGGGGGTCAGGTCCAAGCCCCGCTCAGAGGGGTTTCTGCACCCGTCCCACCGTCTGTCAGATGTGTTCAAAGTTTCTATAAGCTTCTCTCATCTAAGTGTCTTTAAACAGATCGGCTCTGACGCACTGCAGGTTCCAGGTGTTGGATCGGTTATTTATCCCGTCTTTGCTGCTTTATTTCTCGACTCGTCTTCTCTGAGAGTCGAAGCTGTTTCAGAACAAAAGTTCCGATGAGTCTGAGTCAGCAAAAATAAGTTTTCAATCATCAAATGAGTTCGAATCATAACTAACCTGATTTTCATAAAGGTTTGAGCTCGAGTTTCTTTCTTTGACAAAACCTGATTTATTAAACTTTTAAATGTTGTTGAGCAGCATCTTTAAATAAAAGATTTAATAATCAGTTTATATTTTTAACATCAGAATATTTTTAAAACAAAACATTTCAAAAAAACAYTTTCTGTTTACAAGTCTTAAAAATAAACGTTTTCTCCTGATTTGTTAAAGATTTTAATCTGAAACAGCTCCGACTTTCTTCCAACGACTCGCTGCCAAATTCCTGTTCAGAAAAAACCTGGAGCTTTACCTGTTTGTTTATATTTGCACACAAGGCTTCACCTTTACCAACGGCAAGAAAGTCTGACTTAATGAAGCTGGATCACTGAGTCTGACTTAACGTAGCCGGATCACCGAGTCTGACTTAACGTAGCCGGATCACCGAGTCTGACTTAACGTAGCCGGATCACCGAGTCTGACTTAACGTAGCCGGATCACCGAGTCTGACTTAACGTAGCCGGATCACCGAGTCTGACTTAACGTAGCCGGATCACCGAGTCTGACTTAACGTAGCCGGATCACCGAGTCTGACTTAACGTAGC